GTTATCTCTAGGTGGTGAGATAACAGATGACTTTCCTCCTTTATAATGTTTTGGTACCATCTGAATTTTTTTATTTATAATAAGCCTGTGTTACTTTTAAAATCAAGGGAAAAAATTTGTTTTCCTTTTGATAAAGATACCACCTTAGCCTTAACACTACACCTGTGGCTTTGCTTTTAAAATGATGAATTAGAAATAAAGCTAGAATAAATGAACTTGTTCACTTTGAACAGGAGGGAAAAAAACCCTACTAGAATATGCAGTGGCCCCTGATTTCAGAGAAGCATTTGCTTGGATGACTTTTTTATTAGTATAGCTTCTACACTGATGATTTTCTGCTAGAGGCTGAATTTTCTTGGATAGATGAGAAGGAGAAGGAGAAATGATGAGCAGAGGATCTTAGAAGGGCCCGAGATGGCATCACAGACATGAGAGGTCCAAAATACTCCTTTAGGTCATGAAAGATATCCTTCACTCATCTGATACATCTTCCCAACACACACATACACACACATACACACCCCTTTATCAACAGGTTGGAGCCTTCACTGACCCCACTTCATCTCCCCGTACTGAGCCTGTCAGACTCCTCATTCCCAGCTTGGCCGCCTTCACCAACCACCTTCCTTTTCCATCTTCCCTGTGGCTCCTTTCTTTTCCTGATCGGAACAAACCTCATTTCCCTCACCTTGTACAAGATGAAAATAACTCTGTGCTTTCAAATAAAACAGTTAGAAACATACTATGGATATAAGTCTCCACGCAAAGCCCCACATATTTTAAGCTAACTATTTCTTAGGTTGAGAATATTTTCTGAAGTATTCACATGAGGGTAGAAACACAGAACTTTGCAAAATGGCCTGTAAGTATGCACTTGCTGACTGAGATCTGAGCTGAAGCCAGTCATTTGTTATGAAAAAGAAAAAGGCACAAATGTATATGTATGCAAAGGCAAGGATCTAAAAGCATATGCCACATAATAGTAGTTCCCTCTGGGCTGTTTAGTTTCATCTGGGCTGTTGCAGGGAGTTTTAATTTCCTTCCCTATATAGTTGTGTTTTCTACCTGTTCTGTAACTTACACACATTACTTACATAATTTTTAAAAATTAAATACATTAATTGAACAGATGCCCAAAGAGAAAAGGGTGGGAAAGGTAAACTGCCATGGAGAGGAAATAAGTAGCAGGGAAGTGAGAAGTGCAGGGAAAGCAGCAGCTGAGTCCACTCTAAGTGCTAAGAACAGGGGACAGAGTTCTAAATCAGAATTTCCATCTCCACCCTGCAAACTCCACAATCCCAGGCTTTGCCCTGACAGCATGGCTACAAGACCCTTGTCAAGTCCAAGGCAAGGCAAAGAAATGCTGAGGCCACAGAAATGTAACCATTTAAAAGAGGACATTAACAACTTTTTCTGGGGGCAGAGGTGGAGGGGAGTGCACGCAGGAGTGCGGATGTTCACAGCGCTGCTTCTCTCCACCTTTGCTTTGCTTCTCCAGGTCCGGGAGTCACTTAAAAGCAGGCTATCTATTTTCAAGAAGTAAATCTCTTGGATGAGTACCTTATGTTTATGAGCTGGAGAAGGAAGGTGCTGGGCTGTGTATTGGAACTCCCAGCCAGAGAAGACAGTTATCTCTTTTGGCACAGGTTCGCAGGGATGAGACCATGTCTAGTGGGGATTTTCTCCAGATTCGACAGCCTTGGCGCTGCCCAAATGTCCTGCTTTGTTTTCACCGTACATCACTCATCCTGAGTCTTTCGTTTTTCCTTTCAAGCATCCACAGGTCAAATACTGTGCGTTCCCAACAGTCTGTGAACTTCTTGGACCAGCAAAAGGACATTCCTTTTGCTCAGCACTCCTTTAACATTTCTATTGTGTTCGATTTCCCACTCCCCCTACCCAAGTCCCCAGAGAATAACTTCTTCCTTGTTTTAATAACTTGGACCACAGTCAAGGTTGATGTGTTTCTCCATTTTGCAGGATATTTTCTTCAGAAGAGACAAAACAGAGGCTAACAGAGTACCAAGGCTTCTAAGCCGCCTTAGGAAATCAACAGCCATTATGAACACACAGAAAATGTTTTTTAAGGAAATAAAAATCAGACAACACAAAGGCCCCATAAACAAAATTATTCATAAAGGCAGACCAATGCTTAGAAAGAGTCCCCGGCAATTTTTTCTTCCAGTGACCCACTTTAAAAAACCTGATTTCATTTGTTTGTGGGTGAGGAAAAGGGTCAGAGTGAAGAAAGTGGTTTTCATAACGTACCTTCTCTTTGACTTAAGCTGAAATACAATATGCTCTCCTTTGAGGGCATAAAAGTAGTTCTGATCCCAGTGGGCATGCAGAAAAGAAAACGAGTTAAAGGGAGAAGGAGAGAGGAGTAAATCAGTGGGAGAGTACCCCTTCATCCCCATTATGTAATGTGTTTAGTCTCATCTTGCCCATGCCATCCTAAAATCCTAGCCCCCCTGTTTCAGTAACACTGCTCCCTGACATCTAAAGACAGACGTCTCCATGAACTTGCTTAGGACAGACACCAGGAAACAAGCCTAGTCTTTTTTTTTTTAAGTAAAATGTTCAAGGAAAGAAGACATGAACACATGTTTAGTAGGAGTTAGTCTGAGGTACAGGGCCATGATCTTTTAATAAAAACTGAGAATGCTTCATTTTTATGAGTGATAGAGAAATTGTACCCCTTTTGTCTAAAACATGCGTCAAACCTCCAGTTTTTCTGTGTAGATCTACTATGTCACCACAATTTTTCTTTACCACTGATTTCAAATAGTGTCAAGATACTAGTTACGGGTTAAAGCAAAAAGAGAGTTCTTTATCTTTCTTCACAGAATATCTTTACTCAAATGTATTTTCCACATTAACAGTGTTTTCATACGATGGCAAAAGAAAGTGAACTTAGCATCAGAGAGAAGAATAATGCCTCTATCCATTATTATCTCCCCTGGAGAAAAACCAAACTTTCTACTGGCATAACAGATCCACCTGAATCCAGTTCCCAGCTGTTCATGGGCTTGGAGGAAATTTCTAAGGAGTCACCATTTTTTAAGAGCTATAAGAGAGGCAAACTGTGCATTAGTGGTTGTAAAATCCATCTACATTTCACAACCAGCATCTTAAAAAATGCTATGGAATGGTGTAGAAAAGATCAGCATGTACCATGTGGAGGAAGAGTAAATGCTATTGTGTGAAAATGTGTCTGTGTGTGTGTGTGTTCATATTAGATTCCAGTGTAAAAGGTATTTCTAACTATGTCAAAATTTTGAAAGTTAAACTTTGAGACAGAAGTGGGTTCCAGCCTGGCTCTGCTACTTACTTTCTATGTGAACTTGATTAGAGGGCCTAATCTCTTCACCCTCCTGATACCCTCTGATACTATGGACATGACCATATATCCTAGGACTGTCATGAGATCAAAACAGGGAACATTGATAAAGCTTCTCATGCAGGGCCCAATCATTTTGACATCCATCCTTAGATAACTAAATGCTTAATTCACAAATGGAAGCACACATTTGCTGACTTACAATAAGTTTCAAAGGGATAAATTCTAAAGCGATAAATATGTGAGAGAGGATGTTATGAAATCAGACAACTGCATTTTTTTTTTGCTTTCCAAAGACAGCAAAGAGAGGAGTTTTCTGTAGGACTATCTATTGGGGCCATTTGATTCTTTTCATTGGACTCTTTGAATAAAGTTAGTATTCAGTAAGTACATTTTGGTTTCAGAAGTTCTTTTCCAAAATGTAAGCACCAGACCAATGAAAACTTTTAGTTTTTTTTTCTTATACAATATTGAATAAAACAAATGGTTCACACTTAGTGCTTCATCCTTATAATACAGCTTCTGACTCCCAAGCAAGTGACTATTACCACATGTTAAGAACCTTAAAGGTATCAAAATGATCTCAACTGTGGAAAGACCCATGTTCAAACACCCGCCAAGATTCCTTATCTGTCAGTTTTGTTATTAAGCAACAAACAAACCCTGTACTCTAGTGTGAAGAAATTTTAAAAACTGAAATGTGCAGCTCACTACACAATCATGTTCTGTCTATTCTTGGTGTTTAGTTTAGGGAGCGTTACCTAATTCTGAGTAGAGGAGACAGAAGAAAAGGAAGGGGTCCAGAAAGAAAGGGTGAGACCAAGAAGCCAAGAAACTTGAGCCAAGTCCCGAGGAGGCAGTAAGGCAGAATGCTGAAACTGTCAGCAGCCCTTGGACAGAATTTGGAAGAGAACAAATCCAGTCAACAGAAGGCTTTTTTACTTTTGTGTCTAGAGAGAGGAGTTGGAGACCTGAATAAAGTAGCAGAAAAATGGTGGGATGGGGTGGAAAGAAGGATCTAACAGTAAGTCTTGGAAGATGAAAAACAACTCTGCTGATCATCGAAGGATGATCCAGAAACCAGGACTGAGCCAACAAAATAAAGAAGGATGAGAAGAAGGAGGCTGGTTCTGGTGTTTAAGCAGAGAGAAGAAAATCAAAAGAAATAGCTATGGAGATGTCCCAGGATGCAGGCTACATGGCTAGGGAAGGCACAGATGTTTGGGAATGAAAAAAGAAGTTTTTGCAAAAAGTCTGGCCATAAACTTGGTGTTAAAATTGAGTTCTCCCTGAGAGATTTAAAGGTAAACAGAAAAAGCAAGTTAAGTATGACTGAAAGATTTGACTGATCTAACAGGAATATGCATAATACAATTTAGTATTTTGTGAAACATTTGAGAGGAAATGAGCAGGATTCCTACTGCATCATTAAAAAGTATGTTGATGAGAAATATCACCCCTCCATTTTCACCCACAGTACGTCTGTGATAAGTAAGAAGAGGCAGGAAAGAGAGAGAGAGAGATGGGTAGATTCTTCCCATCCCAGCTCACCAACTGCTAACCCTGATTACCCATTGCCATTCCTAATTCCTGCACTGCCCAGGCGCCAGTCAACAAGGCCTACGTTATTTGCTTTGCCATCATCACATTGTACACTCACTTGCTCTGCCCTTCTGTCCATTTCACTGAGCTGGAGCTCCCAGCAGCAACTCTAGAAGAGAAGAAGTGGGGAATGGGGAATGGAGCATGCATGGCTCTAGGAAGCCCCCCAGATCCCAGAATCCAATGAGAAGCCACTGAATATACAGAGATGTGAAGTTTGCTGTCTAGTCAAGAGTGCTGAACTAAATCCCTGAACCCACTGGGTTGGGGTGGAGGATACCACAGGGAGACTGGAAAGAGTTTGCTTTGGAATCAGATCTGGGGTTGGAATCCCAGCTCTACCATTTAACACAATAATAACTTGGGAAGTTACTTAACTCTCTGAGCTCGACTTACTTACTGGAAAACAGGTAACAATACTTGGGCCTTATAATGTCGTTAGGGAATTTAGATGAAGAGACCTAGAAGATTACCTGATACATCTCAGGGACTTCATGAGTGTCATATCCTACTGCCCTTTGATTCTTAGAAAACTAAAATTGAGTTATTGTACTTATGACAGTAAATTCCACCTGTTTTCGTTTTCATTTTCATGTACAAAGAATTGTCCCTACCTATGCTGTGCTCTCCCTATTGTGACTGTATATCAAGTGTGAAGAAAACCTGTTGGTACAACCACGTATGAGCTTTAAAGTGTCCAAATCATTATCACTAAAATACAAGTTTGGATCCTGGACATTGTAAACTGAACATATTTCTTTATATGATAATGTAATAGTTACTCTGTGATATCACTAGCAAAACAAACATCAAATGAGGTTGAATGGACAAAATTTTGAAGAACTCTAAAACATTCAATATTCCCAACTTCTTGTTCCAGGCAAAAACATTCCCTATATATATTCCTGAACATTTAATACTGAACACCACCTAACAGGGAAGAGAGAAAAGCATCTTAATTCTTCAGAGAGCCATGCCTATCCTTCTAAAACTGCACTCTCTTTGTAAGTTATAAGCAGATTTAAAATGGCTCAAATAGGTGTAAGTTAATGTTCAAAGGCAATGGAGTAAAGAAGATCTTACCCCTTTAACGTGGCTCCCAAGTTCATCTGATTCCAGGTCATGCATTCCAACTGGGAGGTCATCTGGTATAAATTGTCACTGTTAGAGAAACATCCAGAATTAGAAGCACATTAACAACAGAAAATGCAATTGTGTCAAAAAGCAATAGACTTAACTATTTTTTACAATGAAAGCCTCCATGTTTTTCCAGAATGACAGAATCATGAGTCTGAAATGATTTTCATTTCATCCCACCAATCTCTGCACAGTTACTCACCTCACACATAGCAGAAAAGATGTGAAAGTAATTTGGAAGTCTTTAAAAAACCTTAATAAAGCAAACACTGTATTTCTGAAGAGGTATTAAACCTTTGAGAGGAAGAGGCTAAAGGGAGTGAAACGTTGAATGGCAACACAGACTGGATAACTCAACATTAAAGAGCCTGGAGCTGCAAGTTAAAAGACAGCAGATTAATTATTCGTGAAAAGGCCATTAAGTTGCTTTAATCAAAAAGATAAGTATCATGTGGATTACGAAGGCTGGAAGAGTCAAAGAGAGTGATGGGTGTGATGCTCAAGGATATGAAGCAAAAGAAAGAGGATGATAAATTCTAGGCATAACTGAAGGAATCATTTTCTATAAATTGTATAGTCCTAGTACAAGTCAAATGGAGTTTTAACAAATAGCCCCCAACCCCAGTTCTATGAAGTTCTATGAGGGAAAATAATGGCTGATCATTTACATTTAAGACCCCAAAAAAGAAAATACACTGTCATATAAACCAACCAAAAGTTGTTCTCTCCCTCTTATATTGGGAGAAGGAGAGAGGAGTAAATCAGTGGGAGAGTACCCCTTCATCCCCATTATGTAATGTGTTTAGTCTCATCTTGCCCATGCCATCCTAAAATCCTAGCCCCCCTGTTTCAGTAACACTGCTCCCTGACATCTAAAGACAGACGTCTCCATGAACTTGCTTAGGACAGACACCAGGAAACAAGCCTAGTCTTTTTTTTTTTAAGTAAAATGTTCAAGGAAAGAAGACATGAACACATGTTTAGTAGGAGTTAGTCTGAGGTACAGGGCCATGATCTTTTAATAAAAACTGAGAATGCTTCATTTTTATGAGTGATAGAGAAATTGTACCCCTTTTGTCTAAAACATGCGTCAAACCTCCAGTTTTTCTGTGTAGATCTACTATGTCACCACAATTTTTCTTTACCACTGATTTCAAATAGTGTCAAGATACTAGTTACGGGTTAAAGCAAAAAGAGAGTTCTTTATCTTTCTTCACAGAATATCTTTACTCAAATGTATTTTCCACATTAACAGTGTTTTCATACGATGGCAAAAGAAAGTGAACTTAGCATCAGAGAGAAGAATAATGCCTCTATCCATTATTATCTCCCCTGGAGAAAAACCAAACTTTCTACTGGCATAACAGATCCACCTGAATCCAGTTCCCAGCTGTTCATGGGCTTGGAGGAAATTTCTAAGGAGTCACCATTTTTTAAGAGCTATAAGAGAGGCAAACTGTGCATTAGTGGTTGTAAAATCCATCTACATTTCACAACCAGCATCTTAAAAAATGCTATGGAATGGTGTAGAAAAGATCAGCATGTACCATGTGGAGGAAGAGTAAATGCTATTGTGTGAAAATGTGTCTGTGTGTGTGTGTGTTCATATTAGATTCCAGTGTAAAAGGTATTTCTAACTATGTCAAAATTTTGAAAGTTAAACTTTGAGACAGAAGTGGGTTCCAGCCTGGCTCTGCTACTTACTTTCTATGTGAACTTGATTAGAGGGCCTAATCTCTTCACCCTCCTGATACCCTCTGATACTATGGACATGACCATATATCCTAGGACTGTCATGAGATCAAAACAGGGAACATTGATAAAGCTTCTCATGCAGGGCCCAATCATTTTGACATCCATCCTTAGATAACTAAATGCTTAATTCACAAATGGAAGCACACATTTGCTGACTTACAATAAGTTTCAAAGGGATAAATTCTAAAGCGATAAATATGTGAGAGAGGATGTTATGAAATCAGACAACTGCATTTTTTTTTTGCTTTCCAAAGACAGCAAAGAGAGGAGTTTTCTGTAGGACTATCTATTGGGGCCATTTGATTCTTTTCATTGGACTCTTTGAATAAAATTAGTATTCAGTAAGTACATTTTGGTTTCAGAAGTTCTTTTCCAAAATGTAAGCACCAGACCAATGAAAACTTTTAGTTTTTTTTTCTTATACAATATTGAATAAAACAAATGGTTCACACTTAGTGCTTCATCCTTATAATACAGCTTCTGACTCCCAAGCAAGTGACTATTACCACATGTTAAGAACCTTAAAGGTATCAAAATGATCTCAACTGTGGAAAGACCCATGTTCAAACACCCGCCAAGATTCCTTATCTGTCAGTTTTGTTATTAAGCAACAAACAAACCCTGTACTCTAGTGTGAAGAAATTTTAAAAACTGAAATGTGCAGCTCACTACACAATCATGTTCTGTCTATTCTTGGTGTTTAGTTTAGGGAGCGTTACCTAATTCTGAGTAGAGGAGACAGAAGAAAAGGAAGGGGTCCAGAAAGAAAGGGTGAGACCAAGAAGCCAAGAAACTTGAGCCAAGTCCCGAGGAGGCAGTAAGGCAGAATGCTGAAACTGTCAGCAGCCCTTGGACAGAATTTGGAAGAGAACAAATCCAGTCAACAGAAGGCTTTTTTACTTTTGTGTCTAGAGAGAGGAGTTGGAGACCTGAATAAAGTAGCAGAAAAATGGTGGGATGGGGTGGAAAGAAGGATCTAACAGTAAGTCTTGGAAGATGAAAAACAACTCTGCTGATCATCGAAGGATGATCCAGAAACCAGGACTGAGCCAACAAAATAAAGAAGGATGAGAAGAAGGAGGCTGGTTCTGGTGTTTAAGCAGAGAGAAGAAAATCAAAAGAAATAGCTATGGAGATGTCCCAGGATGCAGGCTACATGGCTAGGGAAGGCACAGATGTTTGGGAATGAAAAAAGAAGTTTTTGCAAAAAGTCTGGCCATAAACTTGGTGTTAAAATTGAGTTCTCCCTGAGAGATTTAAAGGTAAACAGAAAAAGCAAGTTAAGTATGACTGAAAGATTTGACTGATCTAACAGGAATATGCATAATACAATTTAGTATTTTGTGAAACATTTGAGAGGAAATGAGCAGGATTCCTACTGCATCATTAAAAAGTATGTTGATGAGAAATATCACCCCTCCATTTTCACCCACAGTACGTCTGTGATAAGTAAGAAGAGGCAGGAAAGAGAGAGAGAGAGATGGGTAGATTCTTCCCATCCCAGCTCACCAACTGCTAACCCTGATTACCCATTGCCATTCCTAATTCCTGCACTGCCCAGGCGCCAGTCAACAAGGCCTACGTTATTTGCTTTGCCATCATCACATTGTACACTCACTTGCTCTGCCCTTCTGTCCATTTCACTGAGCTGGAGCTCCCAGCAGCAACTCTAGAAGAGAAGAAGTGGGGAATGGGGAATGGAGCATGCATGGCTCTAGGAAGCCCCCCAGATCCCAGAATCCAATGAGAAGCCACTGAATATACAGAGATGTGAAGTTTGCTGTCTAGTCAAGAGTGCTGAACTAAATCCCTGAACCCACTGGGTTGGGGTGGAGGATACCACAGGGAGACTGGAAAGAGTTTGCTTTGGAATCAGATCTGGGGTTGGAATCCCAGCTCTACCATTTAACACAATAATAACTTGGGAAGTTACTTAACTCTCTGAGCTCGACTTACTTACTGGAAAACAGGTAACAATACTTGGGCCTTATAATGTCGTTAGGGAATTTAGATGAAGAGACCTAGAAGATTACCTGATACATCTCAGGGACTTCATGAGTGTCATATCCTACTGCCCTTTGATTCTTAGAAAACTAAAATTGAGTTATTGTACTTATGACAGTAAATTCCACCTGTTTTCGTTTTCATTTTCATGTACAAAGAATTGTCCCTACCTATGCTGTGCTCTCCCTATTGTGACTGTATATCAAGTGTGAAGAAAACCTGTTGGTACAACCACGTATGAGCTTTAAAGTGTCCAAATCATTATCACTAAAATACAAGTTTGGATCCTGGACATTGTAAACTGAACATATTTCTTTATATGATAATGTAATAGTTACTCTGTGATATCACTAGCAAAACAAACATCAAATGAGGTTGAATGGACAAAATTTTGAAGAACTCTAAAACATTCAATATTCCCAACTTCTTGTTCCAGGCAAAAACATTCCCTATATATATTCCTGAACATTTAATACTGAACACCACCTAACAGGGAAGAGAGAAAAGCATCTTAATTCTTCAGAGAGCCATGCCTATCCTTCTAAAACTGCACTCTCTTTGTAAGTTATAAGCAGATTTAAAATGGCTCAAATAGGTGTAAGTTAATGTTCAAAGGCAATGGAGTAAAGAAGATCTTACCCCTTTAACGTGGCTCCCAAGTTCATCTGATTCCAGGTCATGCATTCCAACTGGGAGGTCATCTGGTATAAATTGTCACTGTTAGAGAAACATCCAGAATTAGAAGCACATTAACAACAGAAAATGCAATTGTGTCAAAAAGCAATAGACTTAACTATTTTTTACAATGAAAGCCTCCATGTTTTTCCAGAATGACAGAATCATGAGTCTGAAATGATTTTCATTTCATCCCACCAATCTCTGCACAGTTACTCACCTCACACATAGCAGAAAAGATGTGAAAGTAATTTGGAAGTCTTTAAAAAACCTTAATAAAGCAAACACTGTATTTCTGAAGAGGTATTAAACCTTTGAGAGGAAGAGGCTAAAGGGAGTGAAACGTTGAATGGCAACACAGGCTGGATAACTCAACATTAAAGTTAAGAGCCTGGAGCTGCAAGTTAAAAGACAGCAGATTAATTATTCGTGAAAAGGCCATTAAGTTGCTTTAATCAAAAAGATAAGTATCATGTGGATTACGAAGGCTGGAAGAGTCAAAGAGAGTGATGGGTGTGATGCTCAAGGATATGAAGCAAAAGAAAGAGGATGATAAATTCTAGGCATAACTGAAGGAATCATTTTCTATAAATTGTATAGTCCTAGTACAAGTCAAATGGAGTTTTAACAAATAGCCCCCAACCCCAGTTCTATGAAGTTCTATGAGGGAAAATAATGGCTGATCATTTACATTTAAGACCCCAAAAAAGAAAATACACTGTCATATAAACCAACCAAAAGTTGTTCTCTCCCTCTTATATTTGTCTCATTCCTAGAAACTAGCACATAAATCAGTTACCAGAAATCTCCTAAATGACCAAGGTCTATTAGGAATAAATTTAGTCCTGAACTGAAATTGTTAATTATGAAATTTGAGACCCAAGAGATTAATGGTTTGTCTGGGGATCCTTGGTCTAAACATGCAGCAAAAGAAAACTTTCACTCTACCTTCCCAGCAGAAGTGAAAGAAGGTAAGCAGTTTTCAACCTCTAATGTTTGTTATTGAATCCCAAATCCTGGACAATCTGTCTTGTCATGGCATTCCTTCAGGCTGCTTCATCAGGCAATGGCAACACCAAATTTTAATTAAGAGGTTTGTCAGACCCACCAACCTGGCAACTTGTGGAGGGGTGAGGTGAATTACAGCAACTCAGAATAAATGAATACTGTGCTCTCTCTCAGCATAGCTTGATAAATCATGGTAGAGTCCATCTGCCTCTCATAATCACTTTAAAATTTATTTGGAACTGCTCTGTGGCGGGTACACAGGATAAGGAGGAAATCAGATTCCAGCAGGGAATTTTACATATGAAATGTGAAGTGACTTCAAACTCAAAGTATGTGTAGTTTCATTAGTCAGTGTATATCTGGAGCCCATCATTCATCCCTGTGTCTGGCTGGCTATTATGCTACTACAATATCCTACATATCAATGAAAAAAATGATTAGTTTCCTGCAGCTTCCCCATTTGCAGCAGCGGCCCGTGCTGGCCTGTGCCACTACGTTTCGCAATTCCACAAATTCTTGCTGTAAGGCCAGTGTAATTAATTCCTGAAGGACCCCAATTTTTATTAGAAGTGCCAGCCTGCTGCATTTAACACAGGCGAGTTTCTTGAACTTTCTTTGTACCGACAGTTCATTAATAAGCAGCCTCCTCCACAATCTCTACTGGTTTTTGTTCTCTTGCGCCTTTTCATCAAGCAATCCATTTATTAATCTTGCCATTAATCTCAGCCAACAGCCATTGTATTCCCCAGGCAGCTCTGTATTTTTGTCACCAATTTTTAAAAAATTGTTCACCAACTAAAATCACTCAGTCCCAGTTGACAATTTTCCTAGGCCCTATTGGGATGTGGGATCTTTCTGAAATTATTTCCTCCTTGCATAATTTTCAAGGAGGCTGAGAAGTAAGATGAGTGGCAGGACTTTACACATGAAGGTTAATGAGCCCCAAATATATAACATTATGATGTAGGAATTTTCTCACAGATTTAAAGAAGAGTCCAGTAGATTCCTAAGGGTCTCTATAAGGAAGTACCTCAAAGAAAAAATATTTTTAAGGACATTTTCTTGGCTCCCCAGAAAACAAACCTTCTAAAATGCAGGGCCTATATCCTACATAAATATATTCTCATAATGGTGCTTAATAAATATTCTATACTGCATGTCCAATATGGCAGCCACTAGTCAGACATGGCTATTGAGCACTTCAGATAGGGCTAGTGCCACACACTGAAATAAGATTCTGGCTATCTGGAGTTAAATAGACTATTTTCAAAATTAATTTCACTGTGTCTTCATTTTCTGAACATGGCTACCAACAAAAAATTACATATACGGTTTCATTAGGCTTCTACTGGACAATACTGCTGTGACCTTGAGCCAATCAGGTGAACTATCTGTACCTCGGTTTTCTCATCTGCCAAATGGGAATATTAATCAATACTAATCACAAACAGACTAACTTTAAGGGGGATATTGGAAGGCTCTGATCATCCTTTGAGGGCTACACAAATAATATATTTTCATTTTTTCCTAATTTAGTGATTCTATTTTACACAGCCCTTTCACACATCTCCAATCCTCAACAACTTTATGAGGCAAGCCTAACTATGATCCTCATTTATCAAAGGAGGACTGGGACTCACAGAGGTGCCTGCTGCTGGCTTGCCTGGTGGCCCACCCCAACCCTGCCCTGCCCCTTTGAAGACATCTGGCACTATTGGGCCTCTGAGCCTTGTCCTCTCACTACCATGTAAGTACTAGTAATAATAATACAATAATGCAGACTGCAGTCTGGAAGTGAAAGAGAACATGCTCACTGGAGCATCATGACCTTCTCAGTCTCCAGAAAGTTGCAAGATGCACAACACATCCTCTTCAGCTAAGAATAGTGTGCCAAGATCCCAGTAGAGGTCCCACGTACTGATTTTAGTAGTCCTGGTAGCTCAGCCTGCAAGTCCTCAGAAGGGGAGAGAAGGTGGGATGAGCCAATGAGGAGGACTTTTAGAAAATCCCCGAGCTACTAATAGGTTTCCTGAGTACAGTGATAGGATCAGAGCACAATTTTAACCACATCCTGCCTTTTGCTGGCTGGGGCTTCTCAGTGGCTCCGTCAGCGTGGCTGGAACACCATTCAACTGGAAGTCAATGACAGCAATGACAATAACTGCTGCTGGGGAGGGGATAAAATGTGAACTCGAGCTAAAAATACTGGGCCTAAGCATGTTCAATCTCTGATCTCTTTGGGTAATCAGTCAACACCCAGCTTTCATCATGAAAACTCATGGAAAGAGGCTGCACCCATCAGGGAATATATGGCCTCTGGCAAATAAAGCATCTAATTATTAAATAACCGCTGTTCGGCGTGGACTACATCATTCCCAGGGAGATCAGAGGCAGGTGGTTTGGCTCACAGAAACCACACTGGTCACGTAGGCATTTCAGCTCCCCGTCTAACTAACTCGGTCTGTGCAGAAGTGAACTCTGAAATTGCAGGCTCCCAAAATATATTCCAAAAGTCATGGTGTCCTTTATATTTTTTTACATAGATCTTATATAAATTTTTTTTTAAAGCACTCATTTCCTATGTGAGAAATGTTTGAATTTGGGGGCAGGAGAGAGAGAGAGAAAAGAAACTTCTGTAACTGGGATTAATGCAAGTTGGAGTAAAATAAAAGGAAGTCAGTCCTAGCAAAAAGAGAAACTTAAAAGGAAATCAGTAGTAGATCATATAGAGTTTGTTTTGGCCTGGACTGCAGTATTACTGAGTTCTTGACCTCCGCACAAAACAAAGGGAGAAAAAAAGCTACTATCTGGGGGTAGAACTCCTCCACTCTTCAAATGTATGTGTAATTCAAGTTCGTTTTCATCTTTAAGTGCATTTACTATATTCAGCAGAAGAAGGTAGAAAAGTTCACGTCACTGCTGGAATGGAGCTGTCGAACCGGGCTGAGATTGGAGTTACCTCTGCCAGATGGTTGCCAGCTGGCAAAGGAGCATGTGGTGGAAGAAAAGAGTTTCCCCATTAGATTTTAAAAAGCCAACCAAGAAAAATCTGGATGTAACTGACATCTATGAGCAGAATTCAGGATGTTTCCAGGTTTTGCTATAAAAGCTCTGCCCCATCACAACAGAGGGGGCTCTGTAGGTTTACCTCTAACTGATAACCAAGGCTCATGCAGAGGCTGCAGCCAGACTTCCATGCAGCCTTCTTCCTGACTTCTTCCCTTGGAGGCACTGTGGAGGCTGCCTGCTGAGAAGTTTCTGCCCAGCAGGCCATGGTGAATGATTATTTTACAGTCAATCTCTTGGTATTGTAATTTCTCTCAAGCTCACCAGTTAACTGAAGAAAAACCCACTGGGGATTCAACTTCTATTAATAAACACTCAGTCAGCACAAAAGTAGCAGGAATATTTGAAACCAAATTTGTTCCCCTCCCTGGAGACAAGTCCATTTCAAACCTTTGGCTTTGATAACACTGCCCACCACCCCGCAAACCATTTCAAACTTTCAGCCTTCATGCCTGCCTATGTGAGAAACAAATATCAGTAATGTCTTAAATGAAACTTGCACACTAGGTAAAGTATATGTAGTACACAAGGGAAGAGAGACATTATTAATTATGATTTTATTTCCTTGGACATGAGCTGTCCTCTGATTCATATGTATGTTGAGGGCCAACCTGAACGGTATATGTATGCACTTCCCCCTAACACAGAGTCCCCAGAGACTCTATAGCTGTGATGGAAGTTTCTCGCATATAATAAACAATGACCTGGTAACAGGTTCCACTGTCAACCTCACCATTTTTGAATCAATGTTCAATTTAAAATATTCAAATCAGCAACTGTTGCTTCTCAAATTGGGATAGTTTCACCTGCTGAAGAGCCAAAGGAAATATCCTCATTTAAATTAATAGCACAGTTGCTAAAGAAGGATATGCAAACCTAAGAAAAGAGCAGAAAGAAAGGGAAATGACTAGAATAGCTTCAGAAAAATAGTGTGCATGGGCCTATTTTTCAGACAATACACAGCACTCCCTTTCAAAGCAGCTGTAAGAACCAAGCCCTGAAATGGGCACAGTTAGGGACGAGGGACTCCAAGGAAGTCAGCAAGCAGAGGAGGCAGAGGGGGCTGTGGAAGAGGATTCAAGGGAAGTGAGCAGGGAAGGTCCAGCCACCTGCCTGTTCTCGGTAGAAATCAGGGAGGAAATCGTGCTTAGTGAGGGTAGACTTCAGTGCTCTCTCCCCTCAGGGAAGTGTGGGTTCCAATCTTCCCTGGGACTCTGATTCTGAGCAAGCACAAACAGGGTGCCCCTGCAAACTTCTGTTCTCCTGGGTCTGGATAGAGAAAGGAGAAAGGTCTCTGCCCTGGGATTCTTTAGGTAACTGGACTGAACAGCCCAACAGTTCACACCCAGTGGTAAAGGCAAAGCTAGAGGAGTTGGGAGTTTGAAACAGAGACAGCTGCTTTGTGCTTTAGGACTTCAGGAGACAGCTCAAATCTGCTCCTGATAATACATGCCAGGAAAATACTGCCCCAATCCACTAAACAATTTCTATTGAAAGCCATGGGCAAAATTAATGGATACTGGGAAGTCCTTCATAATGGTGCGAAATAAGACCTTTCTCCAGTGAGACCTAAGGCAGATGCCACCTTTGGAAAGAAAATGGCACTTATCCATCAGAAGAGGCAGCAGGATGCAGTGCATAAGCCTCACTACCTGAATTTGAACACTAGCTCTGTCCCTTACTATGTCATACTGGGCAAATTTACCTCCCAGGGCCTCAGTTTTCTCCTCTGTAAAAGGAGGGTGATAACCTATAGCCTACCTCAAAGAGTCATTGTGTGGATTAAATAGTCAGTATTTGTACTTTAAATGGTACTGAACAAAGTAGGTCTATATAAGCATTTGCTCTTAACATTTTTCAGCAAAAGCACTGGCATAGACTGTATAAGGGGAATATTCCAGGTGGAGGGCACTGAGTGGCCTAGAAATTTTCAGTGATTAGAATGCACACGGGCTTTGAAGTCAGAAAGACTGAGGCTCAAATCCTGCCTCTTATTCTCTCTCGCTGTGTGACTTAAGCAAGTTACTTTGAGTCTCTGACCCTATTTGCTCTTCAGTAAAGTGGAGATTAAAGTACATACCTCACAGTGGAATTATTAAATGAGTGAACTGACTGAAATACTTAGCACAGTGCCCAGGAGCACAGCCAGCACACAATAAATCCTACTTATTATGTTACAGGAACTCATGCTTTAACCCAGTCATGATCACTGGGTTCTATTAAGGGCCAAAATCTAGTTTGAGAAGCCTTAGTGACTTTTAGACAAAACTCCACACACCTTCAACAGGTTGAGGGGGCAGGAAGGATGGAGAAAACCATCTCCTATCACTTCCCCTAAGTTGAATGGGGCCATTTCATATTCAATATTGTTCACATCTACCCACAAATGTGTACAGCTCAGATCTGTTACCAGAGAGGTGAGAATCACTGCGCAGTTCTCTCGTAACTAGGAGAGAATTTTGAGAACTTCTTCAAAGCAAATTCACATTGTGCACTGCTCATTTAATGTCAGTATAGGTACTATTGCCTTTATTTCACGCTGGGAAGAGAGAATAAATCCAAGACTGTGGCGGTGGTGGGGGCGGTGGCGGGGGAAAGTTGGGCAGGCTGCCTCAGGGAGTCAAGTGCAACAAGACAAACAAAATACAAACAAACCTTTCTCAGGAGGTCCCAGTTTTAGACAGAAATGGGAATGGAGCCAGGGACAAATAGAAGCACGACTGAATATCTAAAATCCAAATGTTGGGCCAGTAAGCCATTATAAATTTAGTCCTGTTTTCTATGTTTTTTCAGTCATTGCATTCACAAAAGCATTTAAGTGGGTGCAATAGCTGAAGGGGGGAAGGTTAGCAAGAATAGAAAAAAAATACCATTTCAAACCTTTTCAGGATTAGGAAAGAAGGAAATTACATAATTGCAGCAATGTTAATGCTCAAACCCAGTATAAAAACATCCTTAACACTTGTCCATTCATCATTACTGCCAGGAAGTATGTGATCTTTGAAAAGTGCTTCGAAATGTGAATTGAGGGTGGATGGCGCTTCAAAGACTCAGATAGTACAAACTTGAAGGGAGCAAACTCTCTTCCTACATGGGTCACAAATTCTTTTTTAGGAAATGTTACTGCTTAGGATGTTTTCTCTAAAAGGAGAAAACAGCATTTCTATGAAATTCGTATTAAAAATGTAGAGCAAAGAAGTTCCAGTTACATGGAAGAAAGGGATGAGTAAATATTTCCAAAAGATGAACCTGACAAAGTCATAGTATATAGTGGCCAATTAATGAACCTGACAAAATTGCTTTACATAGTATGCAGTTAGAAGCTGGATTAAAAAATGTGAAAACTTTATGTATAAAATACAATTCAAATGACTCTTCCTACTTCCATAGCAACCACAAATCCAGCCCTAAGTCAAAATCCACCGCAGGGACTCGATTTGGGGAATTGCTATTAAACCAGTCAGTGGTTCTGAACCCTTTATCCCTCTTTCTTTTTGTAGGCTGCTTAGTCGCTGATGGGCCCCTTCTCGGAGTCCCACAGAGTGAGTTTAGGCTTCGGAAAGAGGACAGTAAAAAATAATGTGTGTGTGTCACTACTGAATGATCTCCCAATTCCCCAACCCCTGAGGAAGAATCCTGGCCCATCTGAACAGCACCCACTCTAGTATCAAGGTCTTCCTTCCGCCTGAGGTGAGGCGCCAACCAGAAGCCAAGAGGGAGGAGCAGGCCAAGGTCATCCCATAGGGAACCATTCCAGCTGCACCCCAATTGCTACTAGAATAACAGTACTTGACTGAAAATGAGCAGGAGCAGCTCCTCAAAAGGACCTCAATGGCGCCACCTCCCCAGTTTTGGTGGAAGAGGGAGTTCCCAACAGAATGAATGGTTGCAGATTCTGTACCCATTCCTGATACTTGTGGCACGGAGAGGAGGCCCAGAGATCGAGCTTGGGGCAGAACACTGAGTCTGAGGTGGCAAAGCACAAAACTGGTTCGAACTAGGGAGGGGAAAAAGTGAGGAGGTGTTATCATTCTACCTCTTTCTGGGCAACCTGAGTGCATTTCTTTGCCCCTTCTCTTTTTCTCGCCCTCTCCCTCTCTCTCCCAAAAAAGAAAAAGTTAAGGGAAAAAAAAGTGATGTCGAATACAAGATCCTGCTAGATACGCCGGATTTTCTGATCAAAAGGAAAGGTTTCCAAAGTACGTGCACCTCCAGTGTACAGAAGGGGATCGACCCTTTACCTCCCAGAACAGGAGAATCGGACTCAATTTCCTACGCTTTCCGGGACACCGGTATGTGCTGCTGCGGGCTCCGAGGCGAAGACTCCTTCCCCTCCTCCACCTGTGGGACTGGAGGTCGCCCAGGCGCGGCCATTCCCCCCACCCAATCTCCCAGGGCAGGCGCTTTTCCTTCCTTCATTACCTCACTACCTCCTTCCCTTGACGTCAGCCCCGGGTTCTCGAGCGGAGGTGGGGAGGATGGAACAGGGTTTGGGGGCAGTCGGTATCAGGATCCCTGCAGCACCGGGGTGGGGGTAGGGGTGGAATATGAGGTAATGCGCGCCCAATCCCGGGCCTCGAAGGCCGAGAGCCGCCACTGCCCTCCCCCAGCCCCACCTTCCAGCCCCGCGCAGGCCCGTGTGTGCACCAGTAACTAAGCAACCCTATCGGGGACGCGGGATGCCGGCCAAGTTCACCCAAAGTTGAAGAATAAATTTGGGGGAGAGAAGGTGGAGGGTGGAGGAGAGCCGAAAGAAGACACAAGGGTCAGGAGAAAAAATCTTGGAAGTGAGAAGCTGGTCTTCCGCCTTCAGGAAGAAGGGTCCGCGCGGGCTGGAGTGGTCTCTCCGCAGGACACTGCGGCCACCCCACCAGTCCTGCGCCCAGTCCGGAGTCCCGCCCCAGCGTGTAGCCGGGCGCGGCGCGCGACCCCCACAAAGTGCTGCGGCCGTCAGTCTCTGGAAGACAGGGCTGCGGCCCGAGGGTACGCGCCCTCGAGTTAGTCCCAGAGAGGTCTGGCCGGTGTGGCCAGTGGGCAATGACGGGTTCGAGGAGCGAGAAGAACGGAGTGGGAGTGGGCTCCGTGTTTAATCTTGGGTCCAGAGGACGCGAAAGTCCTCCCAGCAAAGGACCTTTTAAAAATATTCTCAAAGGGCCGCCTTTCTTTTTAAGCTCCCAGCAGTAATCTTCTTCATTTATATTAAAAATGAGAACAGCAGGAAACTAGGAAATCTACGTGTTTCACATTAGAGCTGGGAGATCTGCTTTAAGTAGTCCAGTGGTCAGGCCTGTTACCTCCAGGACCCTACACGCCCGCAGTCCCGGCTGCCCGCATCGGACGTTCCCGCGCCCGCCGGCTCGCGCGCCCCCTCCGGGGTCCCGGGGACCCAGACACTGTGCTGAGCGCCTTCCTACCTGCTATAGGGCGTCCTCAGCAGCAGGGCCTGGCTGCCTGTGCAGCTATCGGTGGGGGTGTGGCAGCCATAGACTGGGGGCGGCACGGAGTACTGCTGCTCACCTGCAGAGAGCCGAGGAGAGCCGAATGAGCGAGCCCCAAGGCTGAGGGGGTGGGAGTGCGAAGCCCCGGACAGGAGAAAGAGCATCCTGAGCTGGGCTCCGAGGCTACATTGGGGGCAATGGGGCCTGGATGCTGCAGAGAGAGGTCGTCCAGATCTTAAGGAGTTAAGCGTCTCATTTGATATTACCTTAGCTGTCAATGCATAGCACACCGAAAAGACCCTTGGGACGTTTGGAGACCTGGTTGAGTGGGGCTGTGCCTGATTTCGTAGGGGTGGGGGTCTCAATCTTTTCTTTTAAATTGACTGAGATTAAGCTAATGATTTCTAAACATCCCTTCAGATGTCCTCTTCACCCTTCCCCAGTTTGCTGTAGGGTGGGAATTGTGGTGGGGGGAAATAGCGCAGAAGAAGGGTAGAAGGGCCGCACATCATTCCTGCCTGCTTACCCAGCGAGCCCTGCTGGCCCATGGGGTCCTCGTGCTTGAAGGAGTGGTTGGTGAACTGCGCCGCGTGATGCGTAGGCGTATGACCGTAGCTGGGCGTCCCATCGAAGGTGACTGTGCTGTATCCTGTGGGCACGGTGGAGAGAAGCACAGCGTCAGCGGGGAGACAGGGACTGTAGGTCTGCCCCTGACTGAACCCGGTGTAGGAGCGCTCGGCCGCGCATTCGGATCCCTAGTACGATTATGCCACTCCACCAGCTTTTAGCGCTTTGATAGGGAAGCCGGGCCCAAGCCCCGAGGTGTGATCTGGGGAGAGGCTCCCCGCCCTTCCCTTCCCCCCCAAGTAAAACCCTGACCTCGCTGTTTCCCAGTTTATTTACGCCCTCGTCCTCCACAGTGTCTGCCGCTTCCGCGCCGAACCTCCGGCAAGTTACGTTTTAAAGCCTCCACCCCGTTCGGTGGAGAAAGTTGTTCTCCCCAAAAGCAAACACCGCGGCTTTTGCTCAGGGGCAGAAGCAGGCGAGGGAAATGAATCTGTTCCGCTGACCCCGCGATGACTCCGAGCCGTAAATCAGGGTACTGCTCACCAACTTCCATTAATTACTCTGAGCCTGTTTAAAAGGCATGGGCTTTAAATGGGGAGGGTAATTACCGAGTAATATTCTCTGTCGAATCTGTGACACCCTATACCACTCTACCCTAGGCCCTCGGGAAAGCTGGTGAAGGGGGAAAGAGGCGGCCCTTGCAGTTGGGCCCACTGGCCTCGACTGAACGCCCCCCTCCTTCTCCTCTATGGCCCACCCCACATCAACTCTCCCAAGGTAAAAAAGAATGGGATGTCTCAACTGAAAAACCTAATCTCCTTCTGTGACTATTGCTATTAAATTGCCTTAAACATATACCCCACCACCTCCTGGAGAACTGTTGCCACCTCAGAGGAAAAGCATTCTCCTGCTACAAAAGGTCAGTCCTGGAACAAGTGGTGGGGTCCCCTCTCCAAAAATGCACAGCTCCGGAGTCTCTGGCCTGAGGTCCATGCCTAGCAGCACATGAGATGGGCCAAGATGCTCACATCAGCTCCCTGCCGGGCCACTGACTCATCTTGACCCCAGTCGTCTCCTTGCACCTCCAGCAACTATACTGGGTTTCCAAACACCCCTCAAATGTAGGTAGTGTGGTGGGTCAGACTGCCCCTTTACCCCAGTCTTGCCATGAGCAAGGCTCTGCATCAAGTGTGCACGAAGACACCTCATCTTCCAAATAGTTCCCCAGTACAAAAACAAAAACGGAACTTATACCTCCCACTTCGGAAAGGGGGTGGTGGGCAGATCATAATTATAGGATTGCACAGGGCAGACTAAGTCTCAGGCACCGTTTGGCGCCTCAGGTCGACAATTTAAGAAGCCACCACCAGTTTTTATAATTTGCATGACCCCACAGGCCTCCTTTTCTCCCCTGCTAAGTGGGAAAAGATAACCCCTGCCCTGTTAGGTGTCAGGCGTGGGTGAGCACACTTCAGCTTCCAGGCACTTGCTTTTGGAAGTGAAGGCCGGGCCCTGCTTGAGGCATACTAATCAGCTTACAAATGAAATTTGGCTCTGAGCACCCAGTTTTGGAGAGGGAAGGCCTAATTTTGAAAGGAAATTTTTAAAAAAGGAACAGAAGCAACAAAGAAATTGTCATTAGACAAACCCTTCAAACCCGTCTCCATTCCTGAGAGGATGAGTAGGCAATGGCCAGGGGCACCAGAGTGTCCTCGGAGGACTCTGCAACTGTCAGTGCACAGGGAGAGCACGGATGGCCGGCTGTAGTCCCGCACCAGCTGCATAGCCACTGCTCTCTGCGAGGTTCCCAAGGCCCCCTCCCAGACACACACAGATCCCTGTGGGCAGGAGCCGGCTTCCAACCCCTCCCTCAGGTCCCCTTGTAGGGGCAATGGTGAAAGGGCCTGCGGAGAGGAGGGAGGGATGTTTTAATTAGAAACTTGTTGCATGTGGGACTGATGACAGCATGCTGTCCCAGGGCTTGCGTTGGGCCAGAGGTGGAGAGCGCAGGGGCGGGGCCCAGGGAGGGACAGCTGATGGCAGAAAGGGGCAGCGTGTTCAGACTCCCTGAACAGGCCTTAGAGGGAGAGGCTATAGGGCCAAGGTAGCGCTTTTCCCACGGTTTGTCTGAGCCCGGGAAAGGAGCGCAACCTTGACCACGCAGAGAAGCGAGTTGTGATCTGTGCCTGTATCCTGGCCCGCCACAGCAGAGGAGCCCAGAAACTGCCTGGCCGGACCATACTTCCTGGCTCAGTCAGGAAAGTGGTCAAAAGCCTGAAAATGATGACTCCGTAGCTGAAATTTATCCACAACAAAATACCCTCTCCACTGAGATCCCAAGGGTGCGCCTTTGGCCCTTGGGCAGAATTGGTCTCCCATGTGACCTTAGGGTGGCCTGGTGATGCTGAGGCCTCCTTCTGCCCTAGGGTTCTGCGTGCCAGCGGTGCTGGGGGAGTCCGGGGCTGAATGACATTTTTTTTCTCTCTTTATACCCCTCATTCAGTGTGGGGCTACCTAAAGCCTCATCCCATTTCTGCCCTGACAAACCCTCTGACCCTAACAAACAGATTACAGTGGGTTCAGTGTCCATCCAGCAGGGCAGAAGAAATCCATCTCAACAGTGGGGCCAAAATCCTGAAAAAATTAGGTAGAAATAGCCTAGATGGTCTGGGTTCCAGGCCCAGCTTTGCCACAGAAAGAGAGACCTCTTGCACACCTGATCTCTTAGAACCTAGCTTTCCTCATCCAAACATAAGGGGCTCCTTCAATATCAGACTGTGAGCTTCTTGCCAAGACGAGATGCACTGTCCTAAATTGATATTTAATCCCTAGTATCTGGCAGAGTAGGTGTTCACTAGTTATTTCTTGAATTGATGGCTACAAGATAGTACACACCAGCTATAATATTTAAGAAATAGGAAAAAACATTAAGAAGTGTGATGCCCTTGGTAGGGAGAAGAGGTCCAACTGTCCTCTCTTGTGGGCCATGGCTAGGCTGCCCTGCCTGAGCAGAGAGGGCCAGAATTTGAACTCCTCCCAGCAGGAGTTTCTGCCTGCTAACCGCCATTCCCAAACTCTGGGGAAAAGCTGATGTCTTTGCTTTCTCCAGCGCAAGCTTCCTGCAATCCTGGATAAGGTGAGGAACTGTCCTGCAATCCTGGATAAGGTGAGGAACCGCAGAAATCAAAAGAATAAACCCAGAATCTTCAGGTCTCAGGGCTCACCCTGGTTGCCAATGCCAGGACTGAATCTGGAACAGCTTCTGACGTCCATCAGCTCCCAGCTGCCCAGGGAGGCCCAAGGGCTGGGCAGATATGGCCCATTTATGTTTTCATTACAACAGCAAACTTAAGTGTAGTGCCTGCTGGTTAAGGAGCCCAGTCTCCCATTCTTACCCCAGATGTTGAGTTTGTGGGGATCCTGGGCACTGACAGGGACCCAAGCAAAGTGACAGTCCAGGTTCTAAAACTCCTCACAAAACCCAGATGGACTCAAATGATAATGGTGCAACAGTATTTCATGCCCAGCTGACTCAGATCAAAGGCTTCTCAGGCCTCTGCAAATGGTGCACACCCACCTCACATCATACTCTTGCTTGCCAGTCTTGTCCTTTCCCACCCTGTCAAGTTTAGGTGGGCTGCAGCCTTCGGAATTTAGAATCCCAGTCCTGAGGGAAGTCGGGCTTCTGTTTCCGTGGCACAGAACTTTAAGCCAGACTCAACTTCCAGATTGCCCATCTCAGCTCTCCTCTAGCAGATAGGGAAACTGAGACCTGGAGATTTGCCAAAGATAACACCAGCCTGCTAATGAGAGGTGACATGATCAGAGAATATGAGCCTCTGAGTCCCCAGTGAGCTATCCAACACCCCTTGAGTAAGAAACACCAATTTCATTTAGTAAAGACCTAGAGCGGAAGGGCTCCATGGATTGGCTTGAGATTCCTTCACCGGACCTGGATTCCAGATTTCCCGGACAAAGAGAAGAGGGCGGTTTCGGTTTCACCAGGGCTTCTGGTGGGCCAGGTACTCCAGGCTGGCTAAGGTGAGGAAGGCCTTAAGATACGCATTTACAAGATGCCTGAATCGGCATGAAGAACAGAATCCTTCTTCCGCCCCTTGGAAGCCCGGGCACCTCCTGCAAACTGTAAACACTGCATCTCACCTCAAACATTCCAGAAACATCCCACAGAGTCCCTAGGCCCGCGCAAATTTTTGCCCCAGGAAAAACAGCGTTTGTAAAATATCTCAACTATCGAATCAACAACGCAACAACGCAAAGTCCAATTACAGTAAATTCAGAAAACCAACTACAGGAGCTCGGCATGATTGGTTCAGCTGGTCCCGGAAAAAAGAGGTGTGCGGGTTCCGGCGCGGGATGAGAAGCTACCCTCTGTGTCTGTCAATGTGCAATGACTGAAAATGGCAAGAAAACCTGCATTTGTTCTAACTTCCAGGTCTTGAAAATAATCTTTCCTCTGCTGAGCCCCCCGCGTTAAACGACGAGAAGGTGCCCGAGGCTCGCTGAAGGAAGGCCTATGCTTGGCTCTCATTCCACCGCCAGTGACAGTAAGACCCGGTCCCACCCAGCCTGGAATCAGATAAACGGAGTTCTCTTCCAGCACGGGAGTCCCCCCGGACGCCGCCTAAGCTGCAACGCGGGGAAGATCCTCTTCTATGCTACTATACGCGGACACGTACGTGGTTCAAGGAAAGCCGCTGTTCAGTTGCCAGCCGGTTCATTTATTCATTCTATTCTCCATGTCACCCATTGTACGTCTAATGTGTGCCAACACTGGCATTAAGGGATGAAACAGCTCCTGGATGTTTCGGGCGCGTTAGAGGAGCACCAGCTGCTCCACCTGCGCTGGTCTAAAAAAGTCCAATGCCTGGTAGGAGTTTGGTGGTGTCTTAAAACAACAAAATCTCTTTCCAAGGTAGAACAAGATACTGCACCGGTTCCCCCTTCCCACTCCCACTGGGACTTGCAATCCCGGAATCTGTCCGGCCCGAAGGGCCCCAGATGACCTCCCGGCTCATGCGAACAGTCCGGCTCCAGGCTCTGCAAGAGGTTAGGAGCGTCTTGTACGCCGGCGTGTACCTACTCTCCCGGGTCTCCTCTCCCCCAGCTACCTCTCCCGCTACCCTAACAGTCTTACGGGAGGCAGCCGGGTGAGAGCTGGAGCCAGGGAAGGGGGTGATAGGGAAGTGCCCGCGCGCAGGGACAGCCCTGGCACCACCGCCCCGAGTGTAGGGGGCGCTCCCTGGCCTGCTTACCCTGGTTGCGAATAGCGGGCTGGCTCTCAAGACAGCTGGGCAGGTAGGGAGCGTTGGGGAACATCCTGGCCTGTCCCGAGGATGCCTGGCTGGGTGGAGGAGGACCGAAAGGTCCGTAGCGACAGGCTCCAGCTGTGCCGGTGAACTGGCCAGAGAAGTGGACAGTGAAGGCGCTTAAGCACTGCTCCTCGTGCGGCTCCGCGCCGCCCCAGCTCGGCTCCTGTTTGATGAAGGAGTGAGGCGGCGGCGGCGGGGGTGGCGGCGGAGCGGGCGGCGGCGCAGGACCGCCTAACGAACCGTAAGCCGAGGCGCCCGGAGGAGCAAAGTCCAGCACCGGCGCCCACTGCGCGGCGCCGCTCACCGGTAGGGCGCAGCCACCGCCGCCACCCAGCGAGGGTACCGCTGGCAGCAGCGCGTTCAGGTCCCGCACGTCAGAGCCCATTTGCTGCGGCTCAGCCCCGGACGCCCCGCGGCTCCTCTGGCCTTGCAGAAGCTGGGAGCTCGACTTGGCCGCGCCTGACTTTGTCCAGAAGTCGCCCGGGCTCCGGACGCCCAGCTGCTCCGGCTGCTGAAGGCACCCAGGCCCGGAGCAGAGCGTGTGCGAAAACGCCGGCTCTGGGGCACACGTGGAAGCCGACTCCTGCGGCAGGAGGAAGTCCAGGATCGCGGCGAGGAGGCGGCGGGGCCCGGGTTTCTGGGATGCAGTCCCGGCTTTGGGTGGCTGGGTGGGTGAATGAGTGGGAGGGAGGGTGGGAAGGGGGGAGCGGATAGGCGGTCGGGTTGCGGAGAGCCCCCGGGTGTGGGCGCTGCCTTGAACTTCTTACCCCAGCTGCCTGGCTGCCCCCAGCTTCCCAAAGCTCAAATAAGAGGGGCCGGCGGCGGGGGAGGAGGAGCCAGGAATCTCGGCAGCTCCATTCACACCGCAGCCAACCCAGCCGGGCGCGCGCTGTTCCTCAGGGGCGCCCTCGCAGCGGGGATGGGGGGCGGGTCTGAACCAGCGTCCCTCTCGTAGACAACCTCCTCTCCTACCCGCCACGCGCTCTCAGCTGGCCAGTGGGACACAACCCTACCCCCCACCTCCCTTTTTCGGCCTTTGAGAGTATGAACGCCACGGGGTTCCTCGTGTCCCTCCAGGTGAGCAGTGAAGGTCCGCTCTGCAATCGTGTGTGCTGGAAGAAGGGATGGCTTTTATCAATCTGAGAGGGCGGGTTAGAGGGAGGAGCAGGTGGGCTCCACGAGGGCGGGAACTTCTGAAAAGCACAGAGAACTTTCCTGGTCTTCGAAGAAGCGAATTCCCTTGCTCTGAGCCCGCAAGTCCGCTCTATTGCTTCTAGAGCCATTGGGCTGGAGTGGTGGCCATAATCTCAGGGTCACTGGGGAGGGGTGTGGCCCCTTGTGGGTTTCGGAGGCCAGACTGCAGGAGAACGTGGAGGGACCTGGAGAGATTGCATCATTTACGATAAACCGTCGTATTTCAGTTGTTTAGTAGCTGGCTGCTTGATGAGGTTGCGCCCAGAGGAAAGCTATTGTCGCCTACCTAAAACCAGTGTCAGCGGCATTTAATCTCCCTTTCTAGTGAGGGGTTTCTAAATCTTCTAAGTCTTCTTCTACGGTGAAACCGGGAAACAGCGGCTAGTTTGGGAGGGAAGGAACCCTTTAAGAGTGAAACCCTCAGAGACTGAAAATATTCCGACCAGAGAATACTGGCGCCCAGTTTCGGGGATGGGGGGGCGGGGACTGAGTGGAGGCTGGGGAGGGTTAGCATGGGAAGCCCGAGGAAAGAGGCTGGCTCCTAAAACCGCTCCCGCTGAGCTTCGCCTTCGCTCACGGTCAGGAGCGCCCGTCTGGATGCGCAGTGAGTGACCGAGCGGCGCAAGCCAGTGAGGCGGACAGAGGAGGAGAGCCTCCAGCCGCCCATGGTCCAAGGCAGTGTTCGCACCGTTGGGAATTCCGAGAGCCCGGCATTCACCAAATCATACTCCTCTCTCCACCTAGTTACTCTTTGGGAGCCCCGCGCCCCAGCACAGGTGCTTGAGTTTTGTTTACTTTTTGGTTATTCCAAAGTAGTAAGAATCAATTGGCAAATGGACCCTAGGCAAGGAGAAGCACCGGAAACCCGAATAGGAGTGCTTTTCAGCGGCACATTGAAACGCGCAGCGGAGCCAGGAGGCATCCGCGACGGCGCAGCCTGGGACTGCCAGGAGCGCTGGGTGGGAAGCGGCCGGTTGCCGCCAGGCCTCTTACACCTGGCTAGCCCGGAATGGGATCCGCAGCCTTCCAGCCAAGCCCTTGTAAAGCGACAATCAAGATAGTTGCAGTTTTCCAAAGAAACCGAGCGTTTGAAATGCCTTGACCTACTCTACATTTCTTAAGCTTTGATTTAGTTAACTTGCACTAACTAAACGAAATAGCTTTGAGTTTGGTCTGCGGACCCAAAACAAGTGCCGGCCCCGGCCCCGCAAGCTTAGTGCAATTCACTCCTCTTGGGGTCGCTGGTCCTGGGGGCGTAGGATCCGGTGAGGGCAAAGGTCGGGAACATGCGCTACCCGCTTACTCTCCCCGCCGCCTTAGTGATTGGATGCGGATCCTTTTCTGCGCTACTTTGGTGCTTGACTTTGCTTTGTCTCCACTCCGAGGCTTTTTTTTTTTTTTTTAAGAAACTTAAAGACTCCTACATTCTCTGTGGGCTGCCCACTCCTGTGCAGCAGCATGTCCATCTCTAAACCTGCAGTGGGGCTCAAAGGCTGGGCAAAAGAGCACTTAAGTCTGGACTTTTTGGTGGAAGAAGGCCCTGCGAGGCAAATTTCTCGGCCAAGTTGCCCCTGGAACACCCCAAACCCTGATCAATCATACCCCCACCCTCCACTTCTGTTTCGATTTTAAAGTAAATACTCTTAATTAGGACTCACTGCCAGGGAAGGAGAACCCTTTGTGAAAAGCCAGACATTTCCATTTCCAAACGGAAAGGTCGGAATTGTTTCTTTCATCCCCCTTTGCAAAGTTTTATTTTTTAGGGGATGGGGTGTTTTGAAGGAGGGTGGCTTGAGTGTGGTTTTGTGTTTTTGAATTCCAGCTAGGGCAATAGCCTTTACGTTAAAAAAAATTTTTTTTTTCTTTGCTCGGGATGGGGTGGGTGAGAGGAAAGGGAAGCTGAGCATATTTAGGACTCTCTAATCATTTGTTGCTTGAGAATCCTTGAGGAAGGGAAGAGCAATGGAGCCATCCCCATTTCAACTCCGGGGTGCCCCCCACCGCCCGCCCCGACCGCGTAGTCAGAGGCAGTGAGAGGAGTTTCCTGCAACCCGCTGGGCAGCGAAGAAAGAGCTGTGCTTCTGAAATCGGAGGGTCTCAGCTCAAAAGGAGGTCTCTGAAAGTCCTGCATCCATCCCCATGCCCGGGAGCCCAGAAGCTCTGGGCCAACACTCAAGAGCCCGAAAACTGCGGTCTCAGGGTGTCCATGCTCCCCACTCCTTCATTCCCTGGGTAATGTTCTTTGCTGGAGCTCTGCGGTACCCAAGCGGACGCGCCCGCTGCACTGGCTTCCGCTCAGTGATCTGGGACGACTGGCAGACAGCCTAGAGAGGAGAAAGGTCTCCCTTCTGCCTGCCTAGGTAGGCAGGCACTTCCGACCTCCGAGGAGCTAGAGGCCTGTCCGAGGTCCTGGGGAACAGGGCTGCAGAGACCTGGCCGCTCCCATCTGTCACCCATTTTCCCACCCCCGTCAGCGCTGAGACCTGTGCCACAGAGGATCTGGTCTGAATCACTGATGGTAGAGCTGGAAATTCAACTCCTCGTGTACAGAGAAGGAAACAGGCCCAGGCGAGGAAAGAAAAGGCAGCTGTGGAGCGCAATGTTAAGAGCAAGGAATGGAATCACATGGTTAAGGCCAGAGAATGGAACCACAGCTCCACCCAGGTAACCAACAGCTCTGAAACCCTCGACGGGTAGCCTTTCTGAGCCTCGGTTTCTCTATTGGTCAGATGGGATAGTGGGATACTAGAGTCCACGTCATGGAATGGTGAGGATTAGACACGAAGATCGTGTTGTCCTATGCACTCACTAAACGTTACAATTTTTTGTTATGATTACTGCTCAAGGACACAGCAAGTTAGTGGCCAAAGTCGAGCTGAAACCCAGGTCCCAAGGTCAAGCTTGGGGCTTTACCCACCATCACGAACCCGCTGCCTCTCTCTCTCTAAAACTATCACAATGGGAATAAAGAAAGGAAAAAGGGAGCAAGCAAGCGAGAGACGCTGGAAACCCATGTGACTTTGGTACAGTGGTAAATCTCACCCTGGCCTGGAAGGTGCTTAATTACTGTTAAAGAAAAAAAAATTCTGGCTGAGAGGGAGGAGACACTGAGGACCTCTAACCCCCCTACTCTGACCCTGGCGCTGTGAACTGTATCTGACCAAGCGCGGAGCCGGGTCCTGCACCGCGGCCCCAGGGACCAACCAGAGCGTACTCCCGGGCTGAGCTCCGGGCGTCACCCCAGTGGCCGCCAACAACTGAATAAACACACCAAAGCGCTGCGATCTGTCAAGGGCTGTAAGCCGCAGACGGCGAAGAGGAGTGGCTCGACCGCCAGCCACCCGGGAGAAACAGGCGCTCGAACTGCGTTTAGCGCAGGGGCCAGCGGCCAGAGCTCCACCCGCAGGACCCGCAGTCTGACCGCTGCTCCCCGCCAACTCCAGCTCTTAGAAACATGCCTGCCTCGGCCGCTGGGCAGGTGCTTAAACTGGTCTCCTGCCCGATGTTTCGGGTAGTAATACCAGCTTCGTTTCTTTAAATTAGGAAAAAAAAATAGTAAGGCAGGGACTTTTGTTATAGTCCACCCCTCTACCTCTGTTCGATAGAAAATTCAATCTTTTTAACCAACCCATCTCGGTTCAGACTTGATTCTCTGATCGGGTTTGGGGTCTCAGGATCCGTGCGCACCGCTGCGTGCGCGGTACAAAATATTACCCTCTTTCTGGTTCTCCGTGCCTTTCGGAACCGCCTGGGTTACCCGTCTGTTCTGATGCCACCACGAAATAGTCCCAGAGCTTCCAAAGAGTCCCCAGTGAAAGGATTCCGCCGCGCCGTCTATTATTATACCGTAAATCTTTTTAAATTCTGGAACTAATTATATAGAGGATATGTCTCAATTTGTTCTGCATTAATGCCACAGTGGGGATGGAGGCCGGGCCGTGGCCAGAGCAGATATGTAGGCCCATGAAATTGATGAACTGAGAGTTGCTTCCAGTACTGAGCGCACCATCTGGAATTCCAGTCTGAGGTTACAATTAGAACTCCTGACCCCTGATTCAACTTTGCAAACAACAGGGGGAAAAATGGAAAAAAGAAAAAAAAAACAAAAACAGAAAAAAACCCCAACTTATTCCGCACCTATAAAAAAAAAACACACATAATCTTAAAATGTTTACATTTTAGAAGATTCTTTCCAAGTATTTTGTGTTTTTAACCTATCAAAGATAATGGAGTCTATTTTATAGACTGTATTTTCTCTTATCCCCTCTCTTTCCCTCTCCCAACTGCACATGTTTAATAGTTGTCAGTTTTTCCTCAGGGTTGGATATAATTACATATAGGACCAAAATATTCCTCTGTAAAATAGCTTGCTAAATATTCTCTTTTGTGAATACAGCTTTGTATTCTCAAAGCTGTCTTTGAGAAACAGTTTCATTACAGAAATCGATCTGAATCTTGGAAACTTTTTTTTTTTACCTTACTATTGTTCCAGCTTAACTGTAATCAGAGATTTTATTTGTGTTG